TGTACACTTTTATGCACTCCAAGACTTCTGTTAGGTCCGTTTGTGTTTTGTTGGACGGAAAATCTCACTTGACTCTTTTTTCTTCAACCATTTCCGGATCTTAGGCTGTTATTTTAGGCTCTATTTGTTTCGTGAAAAATGAATAATTTGAAAAGTATTAACTTAAAAATGATTGTTTGTATCGATTGAAATAATTAGTTAATAAAAAATATTTTCATTATCGACTATAATTTATGTTTAGATATATATTTTGGTGGCGCTCCTTCAATCTCACATCTATTGTTCAAGTTTAAGATAAAACAATAGGTCTAGGACAGATTGGACAATTTCTCCTAGTTACATGGCTCAATTAATGTTTAGATAGGCTTGTTTATTATATCTTGTTCTGGAATGGTGGCATTATTTAATCCATGAATTTTGTAAATATGTAGTGTTATCATCGATCTTTAAGTTCGATTAAATCTCTAAACTAGTTTTCGTTTAATGTCCTCTTTTCGTAATGAAAAATATGCATATCAAGAATAAGGCAAGCAAGACTAGAATATCTGCTAATAATATATAGGGTTAATATCACGAAAAATCCCAAACTAGTACACATGCGACAAATTTACCACAAACTAATTTTTTGAACAACAAAAATTCCAAACTGGTACACCTGTGACAATTTTACCCTATGTCAGTTTCCGTTCAATTTTACCGTCAAATTGCTAAGTTAGATGACATGTGGCAGTTAAAAGGTGTACCAGTTTGAGGTTTTACCACTCTGTTTAGAGGGTAAATTTGTCATAAGCGTACCAATTTTGGGTTTTTTATGGTAAAAATAGTTTTTGGTAAATTTATCACAAGTGTACCAATTTTGGGTTTTTGGTGGTCAAAAAATTAGTTCAGGATAAATTTGTCACAGGTGTACCAGTTTAAGATTTTTCGTGATATTAACCCTAATATATATGAAGAATTTCGTAGTTTATGTTATAATTTTTACGGTGGATACAAAACTTGAGGGAAAAGATGATTGACATTCTTTTTATTGGAGGAGAGGTTTTGTCCCAATTGAACCATTAATTTTTTTCTATAGTATGAAGATAATTTAAATTTTTAAAAATAATTGGATGACCTAAATGAAACAATTAAACATTTATGAATGATCTGTAAATTTAGTAAAAAATTCCAAAAATTAATTAAAAGTTCATAAAACACATTGCACAAAAAACAAAATGAAAAGTGCCAATGAGGCATCTCGCCTAGTGGCTGGGAGCGTGGGGTTGGGATGCCCAAGTCCGAGGTTCAAATCCCGGTAGAAGAGAAAAAAAAAAAGACAAAATAGTTTTAAGGAGCTAATCGTTATGTTAGCCATGTTTAATTTGAAAGGACAAGAGCTCATGATGGTTGAAAATATATCTGTTTCAAAAATGCTTTTTAGTAAAGTCTAGTAATATCGATTGTATATCCAATCTTTCCTTTTTGTTGTTAATGGAAAGGTTACATTGGAAAAAGCGAGAAGGATTGTACTTGTTGTAATTAGGGCATCATTAAAAGTCCTTGGAAATTTAAAACGATTCTCTTATAGAGCATATTTTTAAAATATGAGTTTTATATTATGAATATAAGAAGTTATATCTACCTCTATTCCACTTCGGGATATTTGTATCCAGGTTATATCACTCTATATCCGACCTTATTCCATTTTAGGTAAGAACCAAACACGGAATAAATTTTATCCTATCTCGAATCTTATCTTGACTACCAAATAAAATCATAGTCTATAAGTTTCGACTCAACGTTAAATTTTCGTCCTAGGCTAGGATGCGATGTCTCAAATTTGAGGGCCAGAAGCCGCAACACCTCTAATATGAGGCGGTCGTGGCTTGCACTTCAGTGGTCGGAGGCAGCGATTGGCGAAAAATTTGAAGTTGTAGAGGCTTCTTTTAAGGGGTGAATGACCTTTTGAAAGAAAACTAATTTCTTATGTGTCGAAAAATGAAGAAGTACGAATTTGAATATGTGAAAGCATTTGGGTCGACCGATAACACTAGAAGGTGGACTAACAATGTTCGGTGGCCATATTAGCAATACCCCTAGCATTGAACAAAATGATTTCAAGAACTACACGGACCATTGAGCAAAAGTTCATGGACTACCCGTGACATTACCGCTTTAGTTTACCGAAGGAAACTCGATTTTTGAGGCATAACAAATTCGCCCTATCGAGCCCATTAACGACAAAGCGAATCATAACGAAGCAATTCCTAAAAACTTGTTTAACTCTAAGCACTTTAACTCCCAAAACTTTCATTTCGGTCATTAATATCTTACGTCTCGATTGGATCGAGAGTTGCATGTTTTAGGACTTAAAAGCATGAAATGAAAGTTTCGGTACGTAATCATCTCCATCAATAAAAAGATTACGGAAATAATGAACGAGGCGATCCGAGAATCAACCACTCGGACAGACAAAAGAAAAAGGAAATCGATCGAATCGCCTCGGTTTTATTCCGTTTTCATATGGTCCTCTCTAATCTTTCAAACATGTACGTAACTGCGCATTAAAAATTAAAATTTAACGTAATCATAACTTTCTATAAAAAAAAAGGAAGGAGCATATTATAAAAAAACAGAAACAAAATCCCTCCAATGGTCGTTAGTCCCAACCCCTCCAAACGACCAAAAAAGACACAGCAGAGCCCCACGCCCCACTCTCGTTGCCTTCGTCATCACATCTCCACCTCCCAGTCCCACCACCACCCGCACTCAACAAGAGCCACCGCAACCGCCACCCGCCGGCGCCGCCGCCGCCACCCGCCACCGCATCAGTTTGATCCCCATTCTCGCTCCAGAAGAAGATACGCGATCAGATACCCGAACCCAACACGACGCCGCCGCCCGTTCGCGCCGAGCGAATAAATGAAGTACAAGAAGCACCCCGACAACCTCAGCAGCGGCGTCGGCGTCTGCGCCTCCTGCCTCCGTGAGCGCCTCTCCGCCCTCATCGTGCCCAAGCCCAGGCTCACGCTCAGGCTCACACTCAGGCCCAGGCTTAGGGCCGGTCCTTTGCCGCCGCTATCGCCGAGGAGGATCGTCGCAAATCGCTGACGTGGCGGTCCAGTTGTCGCCGGCTGTCCTACGTGACACATTACCAAGTCAGCGATTTCTAATGAAAATTGACTGGAATGACTATATTAAAAATTCCCACAAACGTTTAGGATTAAATTGATAAAATTAAAAAGTTTAAAACCGAACAATGGATTTAGGACTGATTGGACAATTTCTCCTTGGTACATGGCTCAATCCATGTTCAAACGGGCTTGTTTATTAAATCTTGTTCCGGGACGGTGGCATATTTAATCCATGAATTTTGTAAGCGTGTAGTGTTATCATCGATCTTTAAATTAGTTCAATTAAATCGCTAAACTAGTTTAGCTTTAATGTCCTCTTCTCCTAATGAAAAATATGCATATCAAGGATAAGGCAAGCGGGACTAGAATATCTCCTAGTAAAAGATATGAAGAATTTGGAAGTTTATGCTTTAATTCTCACGGTCGATACAAAACTTGAGGGAAAAGATGATTGACATTCTTTTTATTGGAGGAGATAATTTGAACAAAAAAATTTAAATGATTGGATGACCTAATTGAGACAATGAATCATTTAGGAATGATTTGTAAATTTAGTAAAATTCTAAAATTGATTAAAAGTTCATAGAACATATCGCATAAAAACCCAAAAAACAAAAGTGCCAATGAGGCAAACACATGATAAATTTTTATTGTGATTATATTAATTTATATCCGACTTTAAGCATGAACCAAACACATGATAAATTTTATCATATCATGAATTTTATCATGACTACCACATGTAACCATGGTCTATAAGTCTGGACTCGATGTTGATTCTAATCCCTTAGTTTTAGTTTTGTTCAATTTAATTTTTGAATGTTTTGAAATAAGTTTCAATGGACAGTCGTGGCTTGCACGTAGCGGGCGAAGGTAGCGATTGGCAATAAATTTAAAGTTGTAGAGGGTTTTCCCAAGGGGTGAATGAGCTTTTGAAAGACCATTAACTTCTTATGTATCTGAAAATGAAGAAGTACGAATTTGAACGCATGAAAGCATTTGGGGCGACCGATAACACTAGACGGTAGACTACCAATGTTTGATGGCCATATTTGTAATTCTTTTAACATTGAACAGAACTTCGAACGAAAAGATTTCGAGGACTACAACGACCATTAGACATAAGTTCATGGACTACTCATGACATTACCGCTTTAGTGTACCGAAAGGGAACTCAATTTGCAAGGCATAACAAATTTGCCTTATCGAGGCCCATTGACGAAAAAGTGAACCATCACGAAACAATTCACCAAAGAACTCGTTTGACTCCACGCATTTAAGCCTCGAAACTTCCGTATCGGTCATTTCTATGCTAAGTCTCGATTGGACCAAAAGTTTGCATGTTTAATGACTTGAAAGCACCAAATGAAAGTTCCAGGACATAATCATTCCCATCAATAAAAAGATTACGCGAATAATGAATTAGGCGAATCAACAGGAATCAATCACTCGGCCGGACAACAAAGGCAAGGGAGTCGATTGAGCCCCCCATAATTTTTTCATACGATCCTCCCTAATCTCTTGAACATGCACGTAATTGCGCATTAAAAATCAGAATTTTACGCGATCATAACTTTCTATAAAAGAAATAAAAAAAAAAAAGAAAAGAAAAGAAGGAGGAATGACCATATTATAAAAACCGGAAATCCATTTCGAGAAATGGTCGTTTAGCCCCAACCCCCCCGATACGCAAAACGAAAATCAAATCCCTCTCTCCATTTCGAAATTATAATAAATAAATAAAATAAATAAATAAATAAAAAAGCGAAGAAGAAGAAGAAGAAGCTCGCCCCCAAAAGTCGCGCAACAACCAAGAAAAGACACAGCAGCAGAGCCCCATCCCCTCACTTTCGTTGCCTTCACCACATCCTCCCAATCCCACCACCACCACCTCTTTTTACCCGCAACCGCCACCGCAACCGCCAACCGCCGCCGCCGCCCGCCGCCGCCCCGTTCGCGCCGAGGGGGATAAATGAAGTGCAAGAAGCACCCCGGCGACCTCAGCAGCGGCGCCGGCGTCTGCGCCTCCTGCCTCCGCGAGCGCCTCTTCGCCCTCATCGCCGCCCAGGCCCAGGCTCAGGCTCAGGCTCAGGCGCAGGCCCGGGCGGCTGCCCATGGCCGGTCCTTCGCCTTCGCCGCCGCCTCCGCCGCCGAGGCCGAGGAGGATCGCCGTAAATCCGACGCCCAGCCGCCTCCCCTCTCGTTCCCTCGCTCCGTGTCGCCCTACGAGTCTCGCCGGAAATCCGACCACCACCCCACCCACCACCACCAGCATCGGTTCTACAGCACGCCTCAGGTCGCCCCCACGTACGGCGCCGCCTCGGAGTGCGGCGGGGGCGGTGGGGATCTCACCTCCCAGAGGTCTTTCAAGAAGAAGAGCCGGAAATTCTCCCTCCTCGCCTACCTGTTCAGATCCAGATCCGAGAAGTTCGACGCCGATCCGAATCCGGACTCCTCCTCCGATTCGGATCCCAGGGCTTCTCGCGCGTCTCCCGTGCCTTCGTGGCTGTCGTTCCTCCCGGGCCGACGGAGAGCGCAGCAATCGAGGCCGCCGCCCTCCGTCGAGGGCTCCTCCGCCGCCGCGGCCGGCCGATGCGGGAAGCCCTCTCGGATCCCGGCTCGCGGGATGTCGCCGGCGCGGGAAGAGGACTCCGACGGGAACCCCGGCGTCGACCGGTCGCCGTCGGGGAACGTGTGCTCCTCGGAGTCGTCGCCGGGCTGGCGGAGGACGCCGGCGTCCGCCTCCGCCTTCGCCCCCAAATCGGCGACCCGGGCGAGGCCGAGCGGGCACGCGAGGAGCGTGTCCGGGTTCGCCTTCTGCCTGAGCCCGCTGGTGAGGGCGAGCCCCAGCCGGAACCGGAAGCAGAAGGGCGGCGGCGGCAGCGTACCGCCCCCGGAGGCCGGGTACTCGGGCGAGATCAGGGCGCCGGCGAAGCCGCACCTCGCCGCGGCGACGCCGTTCTGCAAGAACCGGTCGCGCAAGCTCGCGGATTTCGGGAGGGCGCACCACGACCGTTGATTTTTTGGGGGGGGGGGGCGCGGCCGTTGACGTTGACTCAGGTGACGGTGGTGATCTGGTTTCTACGCCGGGAAGAGTTCTTGGTCCCGTTGATTTTTGAGTTTTCTTCGGTTTTTTTTTCTTCTTCTTCTTTTTATTTTTATTTTTTATTGTTCATATTATTAAACAGAAGTACAGTCCGACACATACGATAATTTTTTTTAGTGTACAAATAAAAATGTCTGGTTTTACGAGTGCATTTGCTTTTCACACGTCAGCAACGGCAAGCGACTGTAATTACGTGTTTGCCCCTCATGCTTGATCGAATTCACATTGCGGGGACGGAGACGGTGGATGGGATGGGATGCGATGCGAGGTTGGTACCTGCATTTGATTATCGATACGTGTCCGATTGGAATTGTTTTTTCTTTGTCTGATTTAGGATAAATTATTGCCATCCAAAATGGAAATTTCTTTTTCTCTAAATCTTCTGTCCAGACGAGAGAGATGCTCGATAAAAAGATTAAAAAAAAAAGGATTTTTATTAGATAAGTGGCAAGTGGTGATCGGGTCGGCTTTCGTGATGTGATTATTCTTAGGGTTAATATCTTCAGAATTTTCGAACCGGTACCTCATGAGACATTTTCTTCAAATTAATTTTTCGTCTCGCAAAAAATCACAAACTCGCATGGCGTATTAATCCCGAACTAATTTTCGTTTTATGAAAAATCCTAATTCGGTGTGCTTCCGATCCAAATTTGAGCTATGTCGGTAGTTTGGGATCTGATGCGGACGAAGGGCGGGTTGCCAATTTTGATTTTTTCTGAGACGAAGTTAGTTTGGAAAAAGAAAATGTGTCGGCGATACAAATTGGTATTAACTTTTTTTCAGACCAATAATCATTAGACAAAAAGTGGGTATACTGTTGTGCTCTAATGTTTTTACATGGCCAAATGGATCATTCAATGACAGAATCGAATCATTCTCGGTTTTGATTCATTCAAGATTTGAGCAAGTTCGCAAACGTGGAATTTGGGGGAGGGTTTCTTTAACGATCGTCCTGGTTAGCATAATGCTCAAGATAGGTTTAGCTTTTGTCATGGTCAAATCAACATTTTTTTTTTTATGTCGAAAAGAAAATTGTATTCGTTACTTAAAAGGATACATGAGAAGTACAGTGACTTTACATAACCAAAAAAAGCAATTGAAAGCGCAAAATAATTCCAAGAATACAACAAAACAAAATTAAACCGAGACAAAACAAGGATGATCAACAGGGCAAAGTTAAACATATGCTCATTCCATAAAAGCAGAGAAAGCTCCCAGATCTAAAACTAAATCAGGAGAGTTCAAACCCTCAGATCGAGAATTAGACCGGGAGAAGATAGCTCCCAAATTTAGATTGGGAGAGAAGTAAAAATAAAAAAAGAACAAAAAAACTTAAATAAAATCAACGGGAAGCGAGGGTGAGACTAGCTCAAAACCTCCCCGTACTGAAGCTTGAAGAGGACGATGGAGAGAGAAGAAAGAGAAAAACTTTTCGGCTTCTAACAGAAAAGTCCAAATCAACATTAATTACGATAAAATGTCAGTCGATTTGAACAATTCCTATGGTCGTCCTTTCGTTTGACCATGTTGGTCGTTGTCATTTAGCTCCTCTGAGTTTTTTGCATACACATTGACGAAAATAATTAAATTGAAAAATGAAAAAACCACGATCGTCGGGTAAATGAAGTACCGTTTTAGAGGGAATCGGAGGTGAGAACACTAATATCTCAGGTACGAGGTTCGACTCTCACGTTATGTAAAAAGGTAGAGAAAAGGCAAAATTAAAAAGATTATAGTTAGAGATAGAACAGACAAAGAAAATTGCCGTTGTCGGGCATTGCCTTTCTTTCCATGATACTTGGTCAACAAGATGCATACGGTTAAGACACTCGTTAATTACATCCAATTTATATTTGGTGGCTTCTACCTATTTTAATGAGGTTTGAATATAAATGAAACACAATTGCTCAAGAAGGAATGATCTGATGAAAATTCATCTTTGAATTATTTGTGTTATCAATTACTTTATCAAAACCTAATATATTCTTTGCAAGCCCAATTTCTAACTCCAATATTGTCTATCATAGGTAATAAGAACTACATTTTAACTTTTCAGTGCTAGAAGCTACGGTAATGGCAATGCTGAATGCAATATGAACCGCAAATGTACCCCCGAGTTTGGTTAGCCCGACCAATTTTTCTTGCACTTTGCGATCGCGGCGGCGGTGGCTACTCAATTTGGACTTACTTTGCCGTTAGGGATGGGCACATGGCACGGAGAATTTTCCCGTGAAAATGCCCTTGCTACTAGGGTGTGCATTGGTCTCTGTCCAACTCGAGAATCGGACCAGACTGGACTGAACCGACTGGTTTTTTGTGGTTCCCGGTTCCAAAAATTTGAAATCGCGAATAACTGGTCCAGTTCCAGGTTCCACTTAGGAATTGGACCGAATTGACAAACCGGCCAAGATTTCCTAATTTTTTTTATTTTTTATTTTGAAGCAGAACCTAATCAGTAAATTAACTCTTCTTTTAATATTGGAAAACTTAGGGAATAGAAGAAATAAAAAAAGAAGAAGAAGAAGAAATCACCAGTTCCGAGACCAACCCTGGAACTAGACCAGTCGGTCCCATTCCAGGATCGGGTAGGTCAATTCCTGGTTTGACAAATTGGGAACCAACCTTGTTTAGGCACCAACTCATTTTGGAACCGATCACTCCTAGTGGCTTCCCACACCCTATTTATATACTTTTTAAAATGTATTTTAATTTTTATATTTAGTTAATTTAACATGGATGATAATTACAAATAATGCACTTATATATCGATATTTATATATATCTTCGTATATTTAGTTGAATAATGTAGAAAGCAATTAAACACAAGACATTAAAATATAGTTTTTTAATTTCACTCATGATTTATCCATTTTATTTATGAACTTTCAGTTATTATTTTATGTGATTGGCCAATCTCAAATTTAGACATTTGCAAGTTTTTTTTTTTCGGGTGCTGTATTGCTTAAATAAATGTTGAAAAGGGCAACCTGCATGCCGATTTCTTTAAAAAAAGAGCAATCAAATGAAGCCGTTGTTGTGCCGATATGGTGAAGATTGGAACGTCCTAATTAAGTGCAAAAACATCATAACACGTCGTCTAATCGATATCCGATGTTGCGACGAATCATGTGCTTTCTTCTTGGACGGCCAAAAATTTCGAAGATTAATCAACAATGGGATTGACTGCAATACTATATAGTCAATGGAAAAGCACATCATCAGCAAATGCATCGTCGATGATTTGTAGACTAGACAAGTCATTTTCATCGGGCTTAGAGAAATATAGTGTGAAACGGTTGACCTGTGCCGTGGGTTAATAATGTCCCTTTTCGATTGGGTTATTTATTGGATAATAATGTTGATTGACTTATCTGCGCGGCAGCTTATGCGTACGCAGTTTTCGTTTATAATTTGATAAACTAGGCATAAAGGCCCAAATCATCAGTGAGGCAAAATTTACAGCTCTTATTTGAAGCGGTAATTATTGGGGAAAAATTAGCTACCAAACCCCAAATTTTATGGTTACGGTGACAAATTTATTATGAACCTTTTATTTGTGACATTTTAAATCCCAAATTATACTCACTGTGACACATCTATCCTAAATTTTTTCTTGTGACATAAAAAACCTCAAACTTGTACCTATGTGACACATTTACCTTCCGTCATATGATTTTTCAGTCAAAATAAGGTCTTTTTTTTTTTTATTTCACTTAAGCCACTTGGGCGCTATGTCAACACCTTTTGCTTCCCAGCATCTATGTAAGCATATTTTCTACTGTGCTCATTAACGGAACTTTGACGGAGGGTAAATGTGTCACATAGGTACAAGTTTAGAATTTTGATGTCACAAAAAAAAATTTAGGATAAATACATCACACTAGGTATAGTTTGAAATTTTTGGTGGCTTTTTTCTTGATTATTTAGAAAAACATGAATTTTTCATAGGCAATTCTTAAATATATAGGTTCTGTAATATAAGTGATTTTTTTTTTGTGAATAAAAGAGAATTGCTCGTATGTATATATGGTGCATGTGATCCAAATGTGAAAACATATCTCTGTAAGATTTTGTGAGTCCAATGTCAATAGTCTATAAAATGAAGTCATCAATTAATATTTAATTATCTTAACACTCCAGCCTAACATATAGGCTGGACTTAGATATAGAGGCAAAAAAGGGTCAGGGTGGACATAAACTTAGGATCTCATTCTGATATCATATGAAATTTTGTAAGATAGTTGTTAGCTGTTCCAAAAACTCAAATTTTTAGATGAATACACGATGTAATATTTAAATATCCTAACACTGTTACATGCCATATTATTAAGAAGCATTCTTTTCTATTTAATTTGATGGCCATTCAGTTAATTCTAAATATGCCCTGGTTCTTCAAAGTTGATATGGTTTGCCAGACCCCACAAGGTAGGTCTTGGTCTTGGTTTGTCTTTCTCCTGAGAAAGTACTTTTTATATATATAGAAAATGATGGCATATATAGAAAGAAGCCAATCACACTAAAGAGTAAAGTGATTGCGTAATATTTTAAATAAGGAAACCAATCATCTGTTTTTAAGAGTGTTTTTGGTACAGCTTCCCGGCAACAGTTATAGCTATGAAATGGGATACGGCAACTCTTGTAAATAGTTTGGGAAACTCCTCACATCGGACCCTCAAAGCTGAGGAATTTTTAGGAAGTTAGTTTCATCCAGTTTTGAGGTGTTGCGGTTTTAAACATGTATTAGGATCTCGACCCCGGTTTTTCAATCAACATAATGTTGCAAATATATTAAGTGGGTCGGTTTCAAATCACCGGCAATTAAGTAGATCACTGATTGACTGAGTAATCTATCAGCAAGATCATATACCGATGCAGATAAAATAGATAGTACAACCACATTCGCTCACTAATGTTTTATTCCTTTCTTATAGTATTGAGTTGTTATAGGCCCACGAACTTTCGGGAAAAATGATTTGATCAGCCCTAAATTTATTATATACATGTCAATTTTAGTTCTTAACATTTCAATTTTTTCAAAATAGTCATGATTTTTTGCGTGAAATTTCAATGCGGTCGTTTCGGCCGATTTTTGCTTGAAAATTTTAACGCGGTGGTCCAGTTGTCGCCGACCATCTCGTCCTTCTCG